TTTTTGGATGCATATTAACATGTATGCCGTTGGTAAATCATTCAATGACTTATCTTATGGTGAATGGGTCCTGTTACCAATCTAATGTTTAGTTTGACAAATGGAATTGTGATTTTCAGATTTTGTTATCCCTCACTGTAATCCAGTGTACTAGAAAGTTGTGTATATTATCCTGCTAGGTAGTTCGTGTTTTCTTCTAATTGGCAATTGCCTAAACTTCTTTGCTCGTTAGTGGCATTTGATGTAATTTTGAGAGATTGCTTGTTGGGTAGCATTTGTAAGAGGTCTCACTTTGCACGGTGTCTTATGAGAACTTTTGTCCTTGTAATTTTGAGCCCTCATTCATGTATTTGGTCACCTTTTTTCTTTTGTAGGTCCTTTTGGCCAAAGTGTCTACACCATCAATTATGCTGTGGTTAAATTTGTTTTTCCATACTTGCTGTTATCATAGATTGCCTACTTGCTTTCACTGTGTGCCAAGACATTAAGGAAGTTGTTGCACATCTAGATGTCATGTATTGGAATAGTTGCTCTCTTTTAACTTCAGGAGCCTAATGGATGGCTGTTTGACCTACTTGTTACCTCGATTTTGTATTTTGTTTACTTGTTTCCTCGATTTTGTATTTCATTTTACTTGTGAAGATATAATATTGTATCTACACACACATTGTTGAGTTTGGAACCTCCTGTGGATTTCGGGTACAACAATTTACCCTATCAATTATCCTGTACTGTAATTGAACTCTTTTGTAGTCTTGATATGGGAAAGTGCAGGAGCTGGTTGTGTATAGTGGAAATAGCAAGATCATAAATTTCATCTACCTATTTTCATCCCTAAGCTCACTTGCATTTATTTATATACAAATCCAGTTTATGGCTCTGGCATCACGTGACTGTCCAAGTATCACTTTTGCTAGATGGAAAATATGTATCATTTCTCTAATTCTTTCCTTTGAAATCGTATGCAGCACCTCAGGGTGTCAATTTGGTGAAGGATGCCACTTCTTGCATTACGTACCTGGTGGCATTAAAGCTGTGACACAAATCCTTGGCAGCAATCCAGCTCTTCCAGCAGCTTCCAGAAATCCTGTGGTCCCGCCATCATTTCCAGATGGATCATCTCCTCCAGCTGTTAAAACTCGTCTCTGCAACAAATACAACACAGCTGAAGGGTGTAAATTTGGAGATAAATGCCATTTTGCCCATGGTGCATGGGAGCTTGGCAAGCCTACTGCTCCTGTACATGAAGATCCTCGTGCTACAGGACCACTCCCTGGTAGGTTTGGTGGCAGAATGGAGTCAACCCCTCCGGACTTTGGAGCTGCAGGGAGCTTTGGAGCCTCTGCTACAGCTAAGATAAGTGTGGATGCTTCTCTTGCTGGAGCAATTATTGGGAAAGGTGGTGTGAATTCAAAACACATTTGTCGCACTACAGGGGCAAAACTTGCCATAAGGGACCACGATTCAGACCCTAACTCAAAGAACATTGAGCTGGAGGGTACATTCGATCAGATAAAGCTGGCAACTCAGATGGTGCGCGAGCTTATTGCCAATGTAAGTTCAGCTGCACGGCCTCCTCTGAAAAACCATGGGGGTCCTAAAGGCTCAGCTGCTGCTAGCAACTTCAAAACCAAACTCTGTGAGAACTTTGCCAAGGGATCTTGTACTTTTGGGGATAGGTGTCACTTTGCACATGGAGAAGAAGAATTGCGATCATCTGGGATATGAATATAAATTCTGTAATTCCCCCCCCCTGCCAGCCTTTGGGGGCAATCTTGCTATCATGGGGACGAAGATGTTGCTTCCTAGCTTTGAGTTTTGTGTATTCAGATTTAGATGATATGAGAGTTACTCTGGCTTTTTGACTTCTTCTAGTTTAGACATTTTTCGTAACTTTTTGTCTGGTTTCATGGTTGCATATTGTCATGGTTTCTGAACCTTTAGTAGTGCATATTATGGAGTAATTCACCTGTTAAATTCTCCAGTTTTTATCTTCCTGGTGACCAGTGGTTTGTTTTCCTCTTTTTTTTGTTGGGTTTTTTATTTTTATTAAACTTGCTTCATTATCCTTTTATCATTCTTTATTGCCCTTTTTAATTGCGAGACAATTCCAATTATCTCCGTTATATTCCAAGAAAAGTTATAAATTCACTAAATACTACCTCGTCTTATGTAGGCCTTTTTTTTATTTTAATACCCCTTCTTATAATTTTTGCACTGCGACCTCTCGAACAAACTTCATCTATTGTGTTTGTGTATTGTTACATTTACCACTTAGTTCAATATCCGGTTGACAAATACAACTCTTTTAAAGGAGAGGATGGTTCTGTCTTTATAATTGTTGCCCGGGAAAATGATTATCAACCTCATCTTCCTTTTTGCTGACAGCGCCACAAGAATCTATGGTAAAAACAACGTAGCTGGCAACCAGCCCAACAAATGAAATCAAGAAATTGAAAATGCGTAGGGGACGTTTACGCTATACCATTACAAGTGTATTCTACGAGCAATTATTTTATGGGTTAATCACAAGATGTACCCCTAAGGTTTGGTGTATTTTGCAATTTATCCTCTAACATTTTATTTTTCTCATTTTATTCCTTGGCTCGTGGTCAAAGCAAACATTTAGTATGCTGATAGTTGACATTAAAAGGACAATGCTATCTCTGAAAAAATAATGAACAAACATTATACTACATAATTTCTCTTTCTTTGCATAAAGTTCCGAGTTTATTCATTTGAAATAATCACATGCATGATGATTCTAGATAATTTTTTTCATAATTCAAATTATTTTCTAAAAATACAAAAAAAATAATAAGTCTATCGTAAAAATCAAACCTTATAATCTAAATACACAAGAAATCTCCTTCAAGAACTTTTCGGTGTCCAAGGTCATCTCTAGGGTGCTATTTTACCACATTCACAGGTTTTTTGGATTGGTTCTTCCAAATGGTGACATGAACAATATCTAGAGGAAGTTACTTAAATTTGAAGAAATTTGAGACATTTTTTTTGTTTTAGTTATAAATGCTCTTTATAGAACATGAAGAGTGCCATTTTCATCAAAACCTTTAACAATTAAAGTGAGGGATATTTTTGTTAATTGCAATGTTTTAATTGGTCAGTTGCTGAGGTGGACTGTTGGAGGGGATAAAGTGAGAAAAATAAAATGTTAGGGGATAAATTGCAAAACACACAAACCTTAGTGGGACTTCTTGTGATTACCCTTATTTTATAGTGATTTGTGATTATCCTTATTTTATAGTGATTGATAGTATTGAGCTATATTTTAAATATGTGGGTAAATTTAATTGTTAAGAATTAATTCCAAAAAAAAAAGAAAAAGAAAAGAAAAATTTTGATTTTATTCATTTAATCATATTCACCTTTTGGGTTATGGCCGAAAGATAGGACTACCAGCGGGGTTGAACCAATTTGAATTCATCCTACTCGACTCGAGAAAAAGTCCAATAAGCCTAACATTTTATTGAGCCAAGTTGAGTTTGGGTTTAAATATTAAGACCGAATTAAATGTGAGCCAAGTTTGGACCTTATTAGACACAAATTCAATATAAGCCCGGTCCTCTAATTTGTATCTATATATATAATTGTATATAATATATTCATATTTTGATATATATATAACTATACATCTAAATATATAATATTAATAATTTATATTAATCTATATAAGAAATATTAAATATAAATTCAAAATATTGGGAACATAAGCATCGATCCAAAGTCTTGATTTTTCTCATGTCTTCTGTGGCTTCTCTCTCTCTCTCTCTTTCTCCCCTCACCGTCACCGACAACTGCTGCTTTATCACCTAAAGAATTATATTGGTTGGTGCATGTATTAATTAACAATCCTTAGAACTATAGAGCGAAATCTCGTAGTCGGTAGACGTGGAGAATAAGAAGTCAATATGGGCGAAAAATCTCTTAGTGGAATATGGAAAATATCTTATTCTCCATAGTTGCTTAGCTCGGCCATTGATATTGATATTTCGCCCCACTTCCCATAAAACCTGAATTCCACATTCTATGTTCTTCGCGAAAGTGATAGGATTAATTGACAAGAATAGTCATATAGAGAACTGTAGAGGACAATTAGGAACTCAAAGGGGTTATTGATGTTAAATTAGTTTTAGAACTTAATGGTTATAGTAAATATATTGAGGAAATTAAGGAACAATAAGTGAGTTTGAATTAATCCAAATTAGGTTCACAGTTCAAATATCTTGTGAGTCAAATATGAATTTCATATTTATCAACTCGAAACTCATAGTCTAAAACTCGAAAATATTACTAATTATATGAATTGAATCTGAACTTATTAAAACTCGAACGGGATGGCCAAATTGACAGGTCTGTCGGAAGAGAGCTTTATTGCTCCCATGCAATCTTGACCACCTACTTCAAATACAGACTATACAGTGCAACTATGATGGGGGCTCATTAACGGTTTAGATCTCATGGGAGCACTAGAGTTCCACTACCATGCAATAATAAGACAAAGTGCAACTTTTACAACCTACCAATGAACTGATTTTCTATGTACACTTTGGCATTTGGAATTTTTAAGATGATAAAAAAAAAAAGGAATATGAAAGACAAATAGTACTACTATTTGCTAGCCAGGGGAACAAGTAAAAGATAGTTTGGTGTTAAGAATATGGAGTGATTTGCTACCTTTGAATTTGATACATTTAGCAGTATCATAAATGGTGAATGACAATTGACATATGGATATGATAATTCCTATTTGTCATTTTTTTTATTTTAGAAGTTTGTGGAAGCTGAATCTGATTTATCATGATGGAAAAATCATGTTAATCAAGTAAAATTGGGTTCGTTATCATTCACCAAATGTGAGAAGTTGCTCAGCTCAAAAAAGATATTGTATTTTTGAGTTCAAAAGAGCAAAGACATTTGTTTTGAAATTTGAACCATGGAAGCAAACCAAGAGAGAAGTGAGGTGACAAACTGTAGACTCAATCCAACAACGCGGACGTAAATTGATGTTAGTGAAAGCAGAAGCAATCCTGTTGGTCCATCTTCTGCATCCACAAGAAGGAGAGCAACACCTCCATTTTTGGAGAAGGTTTATGATATGGTAAGGAAACCTGAAACTGGTTCCATCATATCTTCGAATTCCACAGGCAACAGTTTCATTGTATGGGATTGCCACAAATTTGTTGCTGAGATTCTTGGAAAATATTTCAGGCACAACAATTTCTCAAGCTTCATTTGTCAACTCAAAACACATATGTGAGCATCCCTGAACTGATATTTCTTACTGTTTCCTTTCGTTTTCTCATTTTCGTTTACTCTTCTTTAACGAGTTAATAATCTTTTGCCTTGTGTACGTGATTTTCTGGACCGATCTTTTCTGAAGTAGCAATTGGTAGTGTTATATTAAGAGTTCTCTCTCCTTATATGCACTTCAAAGTTGCCTATTTGAAGCAACAAATCTAGAATACCAAATGAATTGCCTACAAATATTAATGTAATGTTTTGGAGGCATCATTTTTTGCATCTTCTGTGCAATCTGCTCTCACTAAATGGTCTAGTATCTTGGTTCTTTCTTTTTCAGTTTGTTTTTGCTTAGTGATACGAGACACTAACACAGTATTCTTGGAATTGAGTTTCTGATATTAGAAAGATTAAGAGATAGCTGATTGGTTCTGTTTTAACATTCTTGGGGTTTAAAAAGATCAATTAGGATAGGTTGGAGTACCAGAATGAATGGTTCCAAAAAGGGAAGAGAGTTGGTTAAAGAAGATTATAAGAAGATATCAAGGAACTCAAAACATGTATCATCCTAGGACAACAGAATTTAATTCATGCAGGGGATTTGAATTTGTGGGAAAAGCAGAAGAAATTGAAAAATTTAATGCATGAACATGATGCATTGAAGGTGGAAATGATGAATTTGAAAGAGATGCAACAAACTTTAGAGAGTGAAATGCTAGTCCTTCGGAAACATGCTCAGAGTATTATGTTCAAGCAACAAAAAGCGCGAAAGTATATCTTCAAAGAAGTTGTTACGACCAAAAACGGCCTACAGAGCACTGATGCTATAAAGGAACAAGGATCAGATGGACAAAAATGCACTGAGAGCTTGGAAGGGCACTTGTATGAAGGTGAAACATCACATTGGAGCTCGGAAAAGTCTCCAAGGGTAGAATCAGGTATGGAAAAGGCACTGTCAAATATTGACTTGAGCACTCTCACTCACAAAAAGGAAAAAAGCACTATTTCCTGATCTCACTATTGCAGATTATTCGTTGCTGAAGAAGCAGCTAATGGATGATCTGAACTTTGAGAATGTGCCTGAGGAGGAAAGAGCAAAGCTTCAGGAAAATCATGTCATTCCTTTGGAAGATTTGATTGAAGGGTCTGCAGATTGGGCTGAGTTTGTGAAAGGCCTGAGCAAGAAAGCAAGGAGTTGAAGAGTTCATTAAAATGGTATTACCTAGAAAAAATATCCTGTTATTTCTTTTTCACAAATGTGAACACTAATATCTCTAAATCACTATTATCTACTAATCTGTGTCAGGCGAATAATCTTGAAGGTTCACTGGATTGCCAAAACATCTCTTGCAAAACTAGTTCAAGATCAATTTAATTCCTTTACGGATATCAGATTATGTTTAGCTTTTATTTTGTCTCCTTTTCTTTATTTCTCCTTTCTTGTATTTCTTTCCTCATCTGAACATTTGAACTTATGCACCATTGAATTTTTACTTCTCAAGACCTAATTTAGTTTTAAAGTAAACGATGCCTTGATCAGTTGAAGCTACATTTGTTTCCAACTCTTTTTGAATGCCTTATTAACTGCAGAGCTTTGAATCTAAGGATCAAATTTCTTTTTATTTATCTGTTTGGATTCTATTGACCAGAGCAGTACTGATAACTTGAATACCAGAATTTCAATTGCTAAAAGCTAGTATTGTGTTATATACAAATATGTATCAATCAATTATAGTTGCATTGCACTTTCTTTGAACCAAACAGAGCATAATTGTAAGTTTCTTTCTATCCTGATCAGTCTATCTCTTATACTGTTGCAAAAGCTCCCATTTTTCATAGAAACTGTTCCCAAGTAATGGTCTGTACCCTACTGCAGTAAACATTCTAAACTAAGCTGACCAGGGCAGAGAGTCAAACGCTTTTGATGAATTACATGGACCAAGAATATCAGTTTGAACTGGAGAGGGTTGCTTGTAAAATTATACATGAATTTGTACCTTGTTTAAAAAATATTGTTAAATTTCAGAGCTTTTACTATCACAGTACCAGAAAATAATCTCATTCACAAATCACAGAAGTTGTACTCATCTCTCTCTCTCTCTCTCTCTCTCTCTCTCTCTCTCTCTCCATTTCTTCATACTACATTTGGATATCAATAAGATAACCAAAAAATCCCTAAAATTTATGTAATGACCAATATCATTCCAATCTCCACCAGGTTTAATATATATATATATAATTTTATTATTCAGCCCCCAAATCTAGGCATCTTCAATCTGGTATGTTCACCATCAAGATACTAAATGACACAATAAGGGATAAGGCAGGCCTTGGCAGAAAAGATAGCAACATCAAAGTCACTTGCGTGTTTACTATTGATACTTGGAATGGCAAGAAAACTAGATAAGTTAATTGTTGATCTAGAGAAGCCTAGAGTACACCATTTGGGCATCTTCCTCTATTAACAACCCATATGATTTCCATGAGGAATCATCTTTTATGTTTGGGAAACATAGTACCAGTATTATTCCTGCTAATTTATGTTTGGGAAATATAGTAAATTGACGTTTGTGATTTCATCACAAAGGGGTATAACTTTCATGATGATTTTTTACTGCAAGTAGGGGAAACTTCTTGTGTCCATTTGAACTTTCTAAACAGAAATACTCTGGTTGAGTCTTCCTACTACCCCAAAGAAGTTGAACCAACTAATCCACGAACAATGGAAGAATGCGGTGGAGGAATAGTAGGTAATGGTGGAAGTGTTAGGCCATCATCACTACCCTCTAAGGAAGCCTCAGAGAAGATGGAAATTGTGAAGAGAGTGTGGTTCTTTTCCACCCCCCTTGTTGACAAAGACCTTCAAGATGGTAGATGATCCGGAAATAAACAACATGATATCCTGGAATTCCGAATGTACCAGCTTAATAGTCTGGGACCATCTCAAGTTTGCCGCGGAGGTTCTACCTATAACATTTTAGGCATAGAAATTTTTCGAGCTTCATTTGCCAACTTAATAACTGTGTGAGTTTACACATTTCTTGATTTTTGCACCCCCTTGAGCACATAGTTTTCACAATATGCACATGCCATATTATAGCTAACCTTGGATGATCACGATTTTAGTCAATGCAAGGATTTGACAAGTCTATCATAAGATTCATAACTCATAAACCATGGTAAAGGCCTTTTTCTTGTAAGGTTTGGTTTCTTTTCTGATTTTGCTTTCTCCTTTGCTTCTTATTTGGTTTCATTTTGTGTCTAAACCTTGCAGGGGTTCAGGAAGATAGGACTGAGTCAATATGAATACCAGACTAAATGCTTTTAGGCAGGGCATGAACATTTGCTCATGAAGATTAGAAGGCAGAATGATGAACTTCCAACAACCAAAAACAAACAAGGACCGAAGAATCAATGCTTAACAATTGAGAGGTCTAAAATGGAGGAAGAACTAGAAAATTTTGAGGATAAAATCAATTCATTGAAGGTAGAAATGGCAAAACTAAACTGTCACATGGGGCAGTCTGAGAGTCACATAGCCACCTTGAAACAAAATGTCAAGAACATGGAGAGTAAGTCAAAAGAATTGATTGTGTTCTTAGCCCGAATATAAGGTCTCTCCTTAGTTAACAAGATAATTCAGCACATGGAGGTAGAACAAGAACCTGAAAGCCATTAGAGAATGAAGAGAGGAAAATTGATTGCACCAAAGCTCCGAAAGCATAGCTAAGTCCATAAATGAGGAGTCAATGGCAAGGACCAAGATGATCAGGAGGCAAATGCTTCAGTCAGAACATTAAAAGAAATTGATATCTAGAAACTGTGGAAGGAGTTCATGGAAGATGATTCAGTTAGTGAGAATGAATCAGAGCAAGTGATATCCAAACAACAACTCAAGATTGATAGGGCTTTAGCCTTTCAATGACTTGATGGGATCCAAAATTGTGCATTCAAAGGATCCTTATATGGATGTGGAGGATCAAATAACTTTGGAACTGTGGATAACAATAATCAGTATAATTCTTGCCTGATTTTTCATCTATTCTGGTGCACAATGACTTATTATGTTCTAGTTCCTCAATTGGTAAACTTGAGCTTTGAGTTCCCTAATTCAAATCTCAAGCCATTCTCCCTTCCCCAATGTAAGGTTTAGAGTCTTCTCTTGAATTAAAAAAGAAAAAGAAAAAGAATTGAGGTAAGATGAGCCTAGGAATCGTTTCCCATTTTCCCTACCCCTAATTGCCTATACCACTAACCAGGAAAAGAAAAAATGCGTTTAACTATTGCCTCGACAAACAAATAGTGATAAGAATAGAAAAATTGCTTAGGCATCGTTTGGATTGAAGAGTGAAAGGGACAGGCAAATACATGAATAGGAGGAATTTGGTCGTTTGCATTTAATTGTAATTCCTGAGGAGGGGATGAAAGGTTAGAAAGGAAATGGTCTAACTATTTTTGTCTTAAATTAGTTTTCATCAGAAAATGTATGAGTGTACATAAATGAGCCATGCAATTAAATATCTTTTACTGCCTAATTCACAAATAATATTTTCCTTTCCCTCCCCAGTCAGTACATTATATGTATTTTAATTACTTTCATATCTCCAATGTATGTGACCTCAATCTTTCTCTAGCAACAAATGAGACCTCGTGGGTAGCAAAGCAACATTGGCAAGATTTGCTAAATTGTGGAGGTTGACAATCAAGTGGCATCCTTGGACTGTCGATCCTTCTATTATATGGTTTTGAGTAAAGAACCGAGGATTGTGATGAGTTAGCAAACTAAGCTTTCACAAAGTTAGTGATAATATGTTGCAATTGTTACATCATAACATTGGCAGTTCATCTTCTTGAGATGAGGATTTATGGGGACTTTCCTCAATGTTCTTGCAGTTATCTTTCTTGGTGCCTGAATCTAAAGTTTTGTGGTTAGACTCTACATGACTGAGAATCTTTAAATTACTCATCAATTTTGTGATTCAGAGATGTCTCTTCTATGATACTTTTCAAGTTGTCGATCACCTTTAACATCTCTAAAACTTGCTCCTCCGATTGACAAGCATTAGTTCCCATACATGGCATGATGTCCCAGCAAATATTTTGTTGTAGTAAGAAGAGAGGACCACTTTCTCAGAAGATTGGCCAAATTTGTTCCTTTGAGCAAATCACCATGTTCCTTTGAGCAACCAAGTTTCCTTTGAATGGCAATGATATTTGTTGAAGGAGAACAGATGGACTGTTTTGATCCGACCGGGCATGCCATAAATTTGTTCTGACAAATTTTAAGTATGTAGAAGTATAGGAACAAATTAACAAAGAAACATAGACCTATTAATTTCGAATTTGATGGGCACACCACTCTAAACTTATATCTTTGACAAAAGATGAATAATAAAACTTCCTTGATTCTTACTCCCTTCTAATGGAGATTTAGGCACAAAAATAGACAACAAATCTACCTCAATAATGCCCAAAAGCTTGTAAGAAAAACACTTGAGTGTATGTCTAGAGAAAGAATGCCTCATGATCCACGGGAGTCGTAGCAGATCTTGAGGAAGAACATTTCATGATTATGGCTTTGAGGGCTTGAAAAACTCCAAGAAATTTTGAAGAATTCTTGCCGCCTCCTATTTGTTATATATATATATATATATGTGTGTGTATCCTAACTCCTAGTGGGTTATTTGTGATTCAAGATTTCCATCAGCAAATGCAAGGCATTAAGTTAACCCTTTAACATGGCTCAAAATGTCCAGCTAGAGTGATTGACATTAATTCTAACTTTCACTTTAGGCCAAATTTAATTAAATCAATAACTTGTTTTGTAAATAAATGGACTTTAATTTGGATAACCCATTTAATTATTTAACCAATAAAATAAATTTTAATTATTTTCTTCACGAATTAAATTTCAAAATTTCGATAACCACTTCCAAGTTGGTCATGTATCTCATGCAATCTCTTTTGTTTTTCTTCTTTTCTTGAAAACCTTAAGCAAATGCATGACAGGCAATGCTTGTGTCATAGTCAGCTAGGCGATAGGGTATGTCGTAAGTATTTTCTCAAATTCCTATTGACATGTGGTTATTTCATTTATTTTTCATGCTTTTGTGGTTATCAATTTCTATTTACAAGGGAACTTATTTTGTTTGACCTCTTGCATTCAACTCGTAAAAGCAAATTTAGGATTTAAAATTATAAATAGAGTTGTACAGTAATGTCAAATTCAACAATGCACTACAAGAAAACTGACTTTTTGCGATGCCAGAATTCTGCTGTAAGAAATCAGAAAACCGCTGCAAAAACCTTTTTGCAGCACAAATGCGACAGAATTCAACTGTGTAACAAAAGTAGCCGTTACAAAAGAAAACGACACAATTTTTAGCAATGTCGCATGTATTTGCGTCGCTTTTTGCGACACTAGTTTGAGTGTCGCCGCTTTATTTGCGACACAAAAAATGCGCCACGAAAAATCTCCATAATGTTATTGCAACATAAAATTGTGTCGCACAAAAGTCACTAATAAAGGCCAGAAATCAATCTTTTGATGATACAATACTTATCCTGCTCAAATGTACTAAAATTGAATATCGGAATAAAATTAAAGTTCCACAGTACACTAGAAGAAAGTATCAATCTTTTACCAAAATTGTTCCTATTGAATATCTTGATAATCTGTGAAGTATTAAAAGGGCAAAAAAAAAATTTTTTTTGCAAATAATGTAAAGGAGTAAAAAACTAGGTGGCAACATGAACCATGATTCAGTCCACCAAAACTCGAAGTGTTAGCAGCTGAATTTGGCCCAGCGGTACGTTTGCCTGAAGCTGTTAAAATCAAACTTTGAAGCCTGAGATTTCTTACTCAATTAAACTGAAAAGGAATAAATTTGAGGCCATATTCCATAAGCAATAACTAATAGAAGAAATACTGACATGTATCTCAAATTTCACATTGTAGCAGAAGACCACAACCAAATACAATATCAGAACCGAACAAATGACATTCAGACAAAAAATGCTTTCTAAGAAGAAAAAAAACATTCCAAGCTCAGAGAATCTAATTAAAACCTATTTGCATAGAACTATTTCTCCTCTTTTCAAAGAAATTAGGAGATACTTCAAAACCTTTTAAGAGACGATAACAATTTGAACTATTTAAAGTAATTCTCGAGTATCATCAACTAATTACTTTGGTCATGTCATTTTAAGTCTTGCTATGAGTTAATTTTCTTATCATGGTGACATAAGCTACACTATTGGTGACATGCTCCCTTGGCAGTAATTGAACAAATGTTTTGTATTTTTTGTCCCTAATTCTTTTTTCATCTCTGAAGGTTTTAACATTTTGGGAAATATTGTGGTTTTACGCACTAATCTTATTTTTTTTTTCAACTGGAAAGGCAGATAACTGCCTCAAAGATTAAAGATGTTATTAGACTAAATACATACATTTTCTGCATCCTGCTTTGATGTGAATTTAACAAAAGCAAATCCCTTCGACAACCTGAAAAAAGACAGGACAAGTATCAACCCTAAATATAAATAGGTAACAAAACTGTAAAGTGTTGCAGCTTAAGGAAACACACCCTGTCTCAGGATTTTGAGGAATAAAAACGTCCCACATGAAAGCCACAGCCGAAAACATGTTCTTTATCTCATTCACTATTGCCTGCAGTTAGATGTTAGCCAATGTAGCATTAAGAGTCAATCCTCTTTTTTTTTTTTTTTTTTTTTCTGACTGAGTGAGTATCCGGGTCAATCCTTACGGGGCCCCGACTAATCCCACTCCGACCCGGAGAGGAGGCCCCACTCCACTCGAGCACGGTGACAAGGGGGCTCGAACCCTGGTTGTCCAGGAAGATCTGCCATACCCTAAAGAGGGGGAGCAGACCATTCGAGCTGACTCTTGGGGGCTTAAGAGTCAATCCTCATCTGCCGTTATTTTTCAATAAGATAGGCCAGAGTTGTTCAATTATGTCAAACACATGGCACGTGTTAATAAACGGAATATAAGAATTGCAGAATAGTTAATATTATGCACAGAGAAGAAAATGAGCATAAGAAACCTTGAATGGGAGATTCTGCGCTATAATCTTCCACTTTTGGGTCTTCGAGCCCTAGTTGACAAGAATAATATAGAAACACTTATAATATCACAACCCTTTAGAAAGCATTTCAATTATAAGAGCTCTCAGAGGAAGTGATTAATGTTATTGCTTTGCAGCACTCTTGCAAAAATATTTTTTGGGGGACGGAGTATCCAGTTTTGATATTCTAAAAAGAATTTATGTCCTTATTATGAGCTCTATCTTTAATTATTCTTTATTTACTCAAGAAAATTTCAACAGCAAATTAGGAAAATTATTGTAAAACTGAAAAAAGAAAGCAAAACCAAAGGATGAAAAAAATCAGATCGATGCATTTATAAAACAGAGTATCTGGTATTGCATTTTTCTTTAACTCCAGGAAACAGACATGAATCCCTCTCTCTTATTTGCAAGAGTTGTATCCACCAGAAAACTATACCTCTGACCAACTTTCCAACTTCTTATGGTTATGCGTTCACAGAGTATGAAATCCAGAGACACAAAAAATGTCTGTAACCTGTTTCAATATGAGACACGATACAGCAGATGAAACCACAGCTTTCATGCATCAGAAACAGGTTATTTTCTTTCTTAATCATCATCGTGAGGCTTAAGTCAGTTGTAACCAATCTGAAGAGATGCCCCCAGAAAAATTAAGAATATAGATGACCATTTCTGGCAGAAAGAGACTTCATAAGCTCAAAGCCACATCTCTGCATCAGTGAACTGATTTTCAATACCAATGACTCGCTCAAGAAATGCTCACTCTACTTGAATGAGAGAAATCTTGCAAAGGTCAATGAGGTTGAGACAAATGCACCACAAAAGTTACTCTTTATCAAATTCATAACTGAAACAGTTTGACAAAAACAAGGGATATGTAATTGTTGATGCCCTTTGGATGTCAAAATTGAAGCAAATGCATCTTTCAAGTTACTAATTCCCAGACTTCATTGACCAATTTTTTTTTTTTTCAAAGGAAAGAAAATTGGATTGCACCAATTCTCCATGAAAGTGGACACAAAATCCTTGGTTTTTTAAAGTTTAAAAGGATCAAGTCTGAATGCTTTTAAACGTTTTTATAATAAAAACAAATTACAGATGATTGTTTTTACATTTCCTTGATGATTATTCTCTTCAGAAAATATACATTCAAGTAATTTGAGATGACAAGTTTGGTAACCGAGACACAAAGTTATAAACCATCATCTTTATGTCTCTATTCTCAAACAACAAATCGACTAGTAAAGCCTAATTAAGCTCTATCAGTAAACTATTGATGAATAGTCTCAATATATTATGTTATTTTTTCAAAGCATTCATGTGTTGCAATCTTCTAGAAATTATTACAGGCTAGAATCCATTGAACGGTTCATGAACAGTGTATCTCAGTTAGCAAATGTATTTTCTTGTGGCCAATATTTGTGTCCAATAAATCACCATTGCTTCAATGGTTGCACTTTTTATCCGTTTTGGCCACTTTGTTGAAGCAACGTGGAGCAGTAGCAATAGTGGAATGATTAGTCAATTGCATGCCAGTAAGCAGATCAAAGTGTATTTCGGTCAAAAATTCACCAAGCAAACAACTAAAACCTTTCTGAAATGGTGTTCCAAGTATTGTAGGTCATTGTGAGTGCTTTTCTAGCACAAGGATCAAGATGATGATGGTGTATATGATTCCAATTTTCATTTTCGGCTTGTAGCTCTGCCAAGAGAATTTAAACAAATCTCAATTTACTCCATGTACACATATAAAACTCTGTGCAGTTATGAATATATGTATGTGTACATGTATATATATATATATATATTATATGTAAAAGTATATATACACATAAGTACATGTATGTATATATAAGTATGTCTGTGTCTACGATTCCAATTAGAAGAAACAAAAAAGAAGGATGTGGAAATTAGTTAGATGAAAGAAAGCAATAAAGGGCCGGCAGCGCTTTTTGCTTTTCATTCTCATCAAACGCTTACAGTTACCACTGCCTTTTGTCAGTGGAACAGGTAAGGAATATGAATAAAGTGGATGGACCCTTAGAAAATGAATATTAGATAGGAATTTAACTCATGGTGCTAATTACTGATTATGTGTTAACATCCAAATGCCATTCCAAGGTAACTTGTTTTGAAACCAAATATAATAGATAAAATCATGTATCCAAACAAATACCAGCGATCTTTTTTTCCCCCCAAAATCTAACAAAAAATTTTCAGTAGCCCGTCATTTTGAGCATTTCACAATAAATATTACGTAATAAGTATAATATTTAAAAACTAAAAATTGAAAAATAAGTTAAAATTTTAAAATAAAAATCAAATAATTTGTAAGATTTGATTAGATTTGATGAGTACTTGAGCATAACATTTTCAAGCTCGAGCTTGATTTGCTACTCGAGTATCGCGGTACTCAGCTCGACTCACTTGTACCTGTACTTTCCCTCACCCTTATAATCTAATACCTTTCTCTTCCACAATTAATGTGGGATAAACATAACAACTAATATGTTTTAAGTCTAAATAGAAATGAAAAAAATAAAATCACAAAATTGAGACTTAACAAATTTCTACATCAAATGTAAATAAAAAAGCCTAAGTTTTAACTCTGATGATAAATCTTATGTAACATAAACAAAAATTAAGTTGAAGTTTTCAATAAAACATTGGCAGCAAGTCTATAAATCTAAAAATGTAAAGATCAAACAACTATTTTTAATTGTGAAGGAGATTTGTATTAATATTTAGGAAATTTCTTTTGTTATATCTCTTATGATTAATTTTGAAATGAAATAGAAGAATCTGAATTTTTTATACAAAAATTAATTACTCGATTATGAGGTGGGCAACAAATTCGGTAATAAACCTCAAACATTTAAAATTTTGAGTAGATATAGACGATCTAATTACTAAGATGACTAGTTTAATATTTTTTATTACAAATGATTATTAGTTTTAGGATCTGTCGAACAGTTAACCAAAGTTAAAATTATGATATTAAATTTTTGGAAAGATAAGATTAATTAGGGAAATTATATAAATATAAGAGAGGATAATAATTGTTAGTATGTGTATATACATATGGTAGATTGGATGGAATTTAAGTGTGTTAATAAATGCCCATTGGACACTTACTAGAAAGACCTTTTTGCAATTACTAATTTGGAAATCACTTATGCAATTAACAAATCTAATCCCTACGGTACCTTGGACATTGCTAGGCTTATTTGATCTTAAAGAAGGTACATAGACAACTCCGTATTATAGGAAGCATTTTTGTGTAGAAGCTTGTCTTTGTGGAATGGAAGTTTATCTAATTGGCTTTTTGCTTTATTTTGGTTTAGTGTAATTAACCCCTTATGTTTTAGGCAAAGTTTTTGGGTTTTTTCAAGTAAAAAAATGGTAAAATTTAAGAAGTGAGAAGAGAACAAGAGCATTTAAAGTTTTCATATATAGACGGTACATGCACTACTAGGTTTAGATATATAGCATATAGATAGAAATTCGATTTTCAAATTCAAAGTGAGATAATATAGGTGCATCCAAATTGGTGATATATACACCAACAGTGCAAGAAAGATTAGTTCTTACTTTATTTATGTACACCTTCGACACAATCAATGTACAATTTCAGCATGAGTTTGGGTTGTAATGAATGCCAAGGTTAATCTTCGCCATAAATTGTCTCAAGCAATTCGGCCTAATAATAATTGAGATCTTTTAAATCCGTTCAAGTTGCTCTTTTTCAGTTTCATTGCCCAAACGATGTAACAGAAACAATCAATTTGTATTAATGCTCCTTTCATGGTAGGATTAAACAAAATGCATTGTTCAAGTTATTCTTAACCAACATTCAGTCATCTCAATTTTGTTTACACATTGACCTCTCATGATATTGGATTAATCTTTCCTACACTGTCAATATTATATGAATAATAATTATGTAAAATTTAAATTTAAAATTTAACTTTTACACACATATCATAAATCAAACAGTGATAATATAAACACTATTAATGTATATAAGATTTACTCTTTAAATTATTCTAAATTTCAAGATTTCGTTGATTGTTATCTCCTTCAAAATAAAAGTTAGATTAAAGTGAATTGTCCTGTCGCTCTTGGCTGGGTAATGCATTACTGTACGAACAATCATTCAGATTTTTTTCACACAACGGCCCCAGCATTCAATGAGAGAAGACAATTCAAGTGAAAAAGACAAGCAACTTCCACGCAAAAAATAAATAAAGGGTTAATTACATTTACCTCTCCTGTGATTTAGCCAAACTACGAGTTAGTCCCTCAAGTTAGATCAAACTACGAAAAGATCCCTTAGTCTCACAACTTAATAACAAATACACCCTTGCCGTTAGTTGACTAATGGGGACCTATCAACTGTTGGTGCTGTTGACACAAAATTATTATGACATCCCTAAAATGCCCACCAAAGGCCGAAATCCAAATGTCCCATTTCAACACCAGTTTCATGCCTATTTCGATAGCAAGTCAATAGCTGTTCAAATTGTCGATTTCAGTTTTTTATATTTTCTCAAACTTTGTAAAAAGGAACGCATTTTTTAGCCTCAAAATCATCCCCAATCCAACAAAAATAGAGCTTAAATTCAAGCCAAATTCTTTACAACAACGAAATTGTCAAGCTCCACTTTGTAGAAGATGAGCACTGAGATTCAAGGGCAACACTGTATCTCAGATTCAACCGACCATGGATTAAGCACAAATAAGACAAAAACAATCAAGATCTAGTTATGAATAGAAAAAAAATCCATATTCAAGTTTTCAAAACAAATTTTATTAGAGTTCAGGATGTTTTTGTCATTTGTGTTTTATCAAAAAAAAAAAAAATTGCATGGAGAAAGAAGATGGCAGTAACAGTGGCAAAACTAGCACGATGAGATCATACTATCTTGGCCTCAAGTGCAGCGAATTAAACAAACAATGTGGTAGTTAGCCATGGTCGCGACAACTTTTGCAATGTTAGTAATGGCACAATCAGAGATGGAGTTCTAATAATTGTCTAATTCGCGAACGTCGACAAAAATGGGAGGCGCTAGCTTTCAATGTTTTCGTCTCTTTCTTCCTCTCCTTCTCTTTTTGTTCTTTCTCATGCAATGGTGGCTTTCATTTTTGCTAACAGCATTTTTTTTGGGTGAATTTTTCTCGGTATTCTGTCTCTGATAGGAAATTGATGCTGATGAAAGCATTCTCCCAGTCCAGAAGAAGATTGTTAGGTGATGGAGAATCAGAGATGATAATGGGATATGATGATTTTGGGTGTAAAGTTATCCATAAATGAGGATTGGCACGGCAAAGATTAGCTCTACTCTTTCTTTTTTTTTTTGTAATCCATTCCCTGCAATTTTGTTTCCTCCATAATAGTTGGTTCTGTTTATCTTCTTTTTCTTAATCTTTGTTACTCCTTTTTTTTTATATATCTTTGTTTTGTTGTAATGGTTCTATCTACTGGTTTTTTTTTTCGGGGTTAAAAAATTGTTCATTTAGTGCGTTTCAAATTTTATTTTTTAAATATCTTACACTACGGTTTTTTTAGTCATTTTCACGCATCTGTTAACAGAGTTTGGCAACAGTTAAAGACAAGGGGGTAAGTGTTATTTGACCAAACCAAAGGGTTCTTTCTGTAATATGGACAAAACTCAAGGGAGGTAAATGTAATTAATCCATAAATAAATTGCCAACAAACCATTGACACTACACGGATTGTGGGTTCATAGTCTGTCACATAATTATGGTTACATCCGACCATAAACATATGCTGAATGCCAGTGCGAACAAAAACAAAGAATGTGTACAAAAATGCATAATTCATGTTATTGTTAGCCTATGTTCAGTATTCATGATATTGGACTCAACAGCCTTGGCTGTGTAAAGTAAATAGTAGTCTCAAAATTTCATTGATTATTTGATCCTTCAAAAAAAAAATGTTTGATATGATTTGAGAATTGAGATCACAAATTTTTATTACAGAGAAAAAAAATTTTGTAAATCTACTAGGATTACAAATACCATGTATGAGTGTCCTTTTTACCATGGTTTAATCTTTTCCACAACAAAGGCCCCACAACTTTACTGACACTCTGAAGACCGCAGTCTTCTCTTAAAAGCAGTTTACTATTCGTTTGGTCATGCATGGCCGTATAATGAATCCGTACCATGAGAGGTATTATACCTTACCCTCCGTGACAGGCCATTGGAGTTGCTTTTGGCGATTCCTTCCTTATCTCATCGCAGAGAGCATTCCCATCACCATCATCAATATCAGAAAACTTTCATCCTAATTCCAATCCCAAGCAAGAAAAAATGGCTGATGCTGCTCTTAGTGCTACCATTCAGGTTGCATTGCAGACGGTTGTTTCCCTTGCCGGTGACCATGTTAATCTGGTTCGTGAATTCCCAGAGGAGCTGGAGAGATTCAACCAATCTGCTGCAATGATCCGAGGCTTCTTGGCCGGTGCCGAAAAGGATATGCGTAGACCAGGGGTGCAGAATTGGCTCGAGCAGCTGGAAGATGAGGTTTTCAAAGCTGACAATGTGCTGGACAAGCTCAACTATGAAATTCTTCGTCGGAAGGTGAAGTATCAAAATCAACTCATGAAAAAGAAGGTACTCTTCTGCTTTTCATTCTTTAATAAAATTGGTTTTCGTTGGAGGTTTGGTTCAATGATCAGGAAGATCAACACGAACCTTGAAAGGATCCATGGGCATGCCAGAGGTTTGGGACTGGAATGCAAGGGCCAATCTGAAGAAGCATCTGGAGCCACAGCAAGCCGACAGACCGACTCTAAGATTGTTCGAAGTGATGTCCTAGGAAGAGACGAGGATGAATCAGAAATAGTTAAGAAGTTGTTGACCGAATCTGAAAGTGATAGTATTTCAGTTATTTCCATAACTGGCCCGCCAGGATTAGGAAAAACAACTCTAGCTAAAGCCGTTTTCAACACTCCACAGTTTGATAATCATTTTGACAAAAAAATTTGGGTTTGTGTGGCTAAAGAAGTTGAAATCATGGAGCTCTTCAAAATGATTCTAGAATCGTCAACAAGAAAAAAGGCTGAAGTGGATAGTAGGGAGGTAATAGTTGAAGGAATTGAAACTGAACTTAAGGAAAAAAGATATTTGCTTGTTCTTGACGATTTGTGGAATTATCAAGAAGGATTGCTGAATGATTTTTTCACCACTTTGGAGGCACTCAAACCCAAGAAAGGGAGCTGGTGTCTTGTTACTTCTCGTCTCCAAGAAGTGGCAATTGTTCTGTCTAGACATCGGTGGATCAATTTTACTCGTCATGACCTAAGAAAGCTATACGATGAAGATTGCTGGTCTATCGTGAAAAATTGGGCAACTGTAGGGGAAGAAGTGCCAAAAGAATTGGAAGCCTTAAGGAAGCAAGTTTTAAGAAGATGTGACGGTCTACCTCTGGCAGCAACGTTAATCGGAGGTTTGTTATCTAAAAAGAGAAAAGAGGATTGGCTATCTATTTTGGAGGAGAGCCTCTTGAATGGAGATCAGGGTGGGATTGAGCAAATACTTAAGGTGAGTTTTGATCATCTGTCACCTGCACCGGTTAAGAAATGTTTTGCATATTGCTCAATTTTTGATCAAGATACTAGAATGGAACAAGATCTATTAGTTGAGCTTTGGATGGCTGAAGGCTTTCTTCAACCGGATTCCCAAAATGAAAGAATGATGGAGAAAATAGGATATGAGTATCTGAGAACTTTGCTGCAAACTTCCTTATTGGAAGAAGTAAAAGGGAAGTGGGGAACATGGTATAAAATGCATGATCTTGTGCATGATTTTGCAAAATCAATTTTGAATCGTAACAGCAGCAATCAGGACCGTTACCTTGCGGTATACTCACCCGAAAGAATCAATGAAAAAGTATCAGCTTCGCTTCGCACATTATTTTTGAAGGGTGGCATGGCTGATGATATGTTATCAAAGTTCAAATACTTGCATGTCCTAAAATTGTTTGGAGCATATGTCAAAGAGTTGCCGACCTCCATTGGCAAACTAATACACTTACACTTACTTGACATTTCAGGCTCTAGGATTACAACTTTGCCAGAATCTCTTTGCAAACTTTACCGTTTGCAAACACTGAGAATTGGCAAGCTTGAAGAAGGTTTTCCAAACAAGATGGGCAATTTGATTAGCATGAGACATCTTCACTATTTTCATTATGATAAAGGATGCAAAATCCAAATGCCATCCAGTATTGGACGATGGACTTGTCTTCAAACGTTAAAGTTCTTTAACATAGGTCATCAAGAGGATGGTAGTGGTATCCAAGAGCTTGGGACCTTGCAAGATCTTAAAGGCTCCTTGGAAATCAGAAATCTTGAATTAGTAAATGGCAAAGATGATGCTAAACGGGCGAATCTATCTGAAAAGCAAAATCTGTATCGGTTGGTACTTGAGTGGGGCAACAGGGATCAGGAAAGTGATAAATGCGATGGAGATGTGTTGGAAGGTCTCGAAGCTCACCCAAATTTAAAAGAGTTGCATATCCGGAATTTTAGGGGAGATCGGATTCCACAATGGCTTGTGAAATCATCAGCATTAGTGGAATTGCACTTAATAAATTGCAGAGAACTTGCCCTCCCCACACTAGGACAACTGCCGTCCCTCCAACATCTACATCTGTGTGGATTGGAAAACACATTGTGCATTGGGCTTTCATTCTATGGTATTAGTGATGAGGAGGTCGGAGGATCAGGAGGTTCAGGCACTATTAGAAGACAAACATTCTTTCCAGCCCTTAAAATTCTCTCTCTTGAAAATATGAAAAATTTGGAAGAGTGGAAGGACGCACATGAAGCGATGGATGTGTTTCCCGTGCTGGAAAAGTTGTATATTAGGGATTGCCCCCAATTGACCACCATTCCAACTCCAAGTCGTTTCCCAAGTCTTGATGTATTGGAAATCAAAGAGAATTGCCATGTTTTGCTGGTAGAAAACGTTCTGAGAAGTATAGCCAATCTCTCATCCCTTAAATTAAGAGGTGGTCGTCAACGCATGGTGTCTCTTAATTCAGTGATACGATCAGAGAGCAGTTTGAGTATTGATGGCTGTGACAGTCTACCCACTGACATGCTCGAGCGACTCTGCCTTTTTCCAATTCTTCAACGTGTAGAATTGAGGCGTTGCCCTAATATAACAACATTAAGAGGAATGAGTTGCACTGCTTGTCTTAAGAGATTGCTAGTCATTGATTGTGTGAATTTACGGAATGAGTTGCCAGAAGATCTTTATCAATTTGAAGCTTTAGAGCACTTGGAGATAACGGGTTGCCCGAAAATTGATTCATTTGGATCAAATCCTAATAAAGGACAGAAAAGCCTCCTTAAGTCTCTTGAGCAAATTTTTATTGTTGAATGCGATGGATTAACAAGATTACCGGTGGAAATGTTCGAGTCGTGTACGTCTCTCCGAAAGCTGGGGTTGTTCAATTGTCCCAATCTGGTCTCCTTTCCCCTTGATTTGCGACGAACCCCTTCTCTCGAGAGGTTCTCGATACAGGAGTGTCACAAATTGATTACCGAGATGCCTAGTGGATTTGGCTATCTTACTAGCTTAAGGAAAGTGGAGATTGGTCCCGTCTCAGATTACTCTGTAATGGAATTTGATTGGGCTGGATTAGCATCTTCATCGACACTCCAGCACGTGAATTTAAGAGGGATGCGTGACACGAAATCTCTGCCACATCAGCTTCAACACTTGACTAACATCACATCACTACGTCTACAACACTTCGGAGCAATCGAAGCCTTACCAGATTGGCTTGGGAACCTTGCGTCTCTTGAAGAACTATTTCTATGGAATTGCAAAAAGCTTGAATATTTACCCTCTATAGCTGTCATGGAACGCCTCAAATTAAAACGTTTGGAAATTGGTTATTGTCCTCTATTAGGCGAAAGATGCACTCCTCAAAGCGGCTCCGAGTGGACCAAGATCTCTAATATTCCAGAGCGTATAAGAAATTATAAGTCTTTCTGAGCCATCCGGTAAGATTTCACCTCAAAATTTTAATTAATTGCTTCTCATTATTTGATATCGTTGTTCTTCACCATCTTATTCTATCCATATTTGTCCCTTACTCTTTTTCTCTATAACTCTCTGTTTCTCTATTTATAAACCGGTGAAGATAACTTTCTCGTTCAATTTATAAACTAATTCTTGTCATTAACAAAGTAGAGTTACGATCAAATTGAAAGACAATAAAAATTGTGGATTTCATCTACTTTCTAAACCATCGAAAAGATTGATAAGCATGGTAAAATTCACTACTCTCTATGAACTTGGTACTGATTATTTTGTTCACGAAATTCACTTTTTTTTTTTTTTTTGACACTGATATTTTCCAAACAACATTAAAACCAATAAAATAGCAATTTTGGGAGAACGTTACAATTTTTGTTTTTACCGCTGGCATTTAATGGATGGATATGTTCTTAATCTTCACTGTTATCTCCTCTGTAGGACTCTGCGTTATGATTGCCATAATGTCGATCAAGTTGAAATTGTTTGCAGAGGAACTAGGGTGCTGCTAATACTACAAATGTTTATCATCTTTCAAAATTTTTAAAGCTCAGAAACTATATCTAGCTACTTTTCTGTTTTGTGAATTGGATTGATGATATTATGGCCTTGCAGGCAACAACTGTCAGTGACACAGAAAGCAGTCATAGTGCCGAAACATTGCAAAAGGCTCAAAAGTGTGCTCAAGGCAGAGTCAGCCTGGAACCTCTAAAGCATCTTATTACACTGTTCGTATTCTCCAACTGAAACATTAGGCTGTGGTTTCCAATCTTTTTTGAAGAAAGATGAGGAGGTATGTGGTTTGGAAAAGTCTCCACCGAACTTACTAAAAGTGCAAGGGAATTGGTCCAAGTTTGCAAGTATGTGTGAGTCATGTAATTGTGCCTAAATGCAAGGTGGTATCTGCACTAGTATTTCTCTATGGTTTAATCAATGGGATTTAGTTTAATTTTTGCTCTTTAGGATTTTGAGTGATAAATTGTTGCACTAGTTACCAGACCAAACCTTTTCGTGGCTCGTGTTTCTACTTAATGTCATAACTGAAGTAGCACTGTGATGTAATATTGTGATTTTTTTTTCCAAAATTTGTTTAGGAAGCAGAAATCATGCTTTTTGGACAAAGAACACCAAGGTTCCCGTGTTGTTCTTATGAGAATGTCAGGAGGGAGAAGTTATTTTCACTTATCAGTCAAGTTTTGAAGATTGAAGGTAGTTATTTGTGATTTTCCCACCAGAATGCCATATATTGCTCGGAATGTGGAAATAAAGGTAAAAAATGTTGACTGCATGTCTTTGGGGCTGTTTCAATGGCTTTTCTTTTTTTATCTGTTTTCTGGAAGTGTTTAACAAAATAAATCAAATACTAAGCCTTTTCTCCGTGTAGCGTGCTAAAAACAGAGTGGTTTGTGCCAGGCTTGTAGAAAGTAGTCTGGATGGAGAAGAATTAGAGGGGAGCATGATAGCTGGTACTAGAGAGCTATCAAGGTACAAGACTTGCTTGAAAAAACTGGACTTGCTGATACTTCAGTTCCAGAGGTGAGAAGATTTGATGGAAAGAAGTTAGACATTGTAGACAGCATTGACGATCATTTGGACGACATAAACGACGCATGTGATTGCAGTGTCAATCATTCATTTGGGTGGAAACCGTTAAAAGATTTGGTGCTGCAATTGCAGATGCAAGAATTCCTACGTCCTCATTCAAAGGTTCCCGCCAGATCTTGCAAGGCCTTTGTCAATTGGACAACAGGTTAACCTTTCCACTCGAGAACAAGAGAGACTCATGGTAGAGCTGTGCTAACGGTTAGCCATTCTAGGTATAAGGCTCAGCGTTGAATTTGTTTGAGTAAAATAATGTATCCTGAGTACTGTCATGGTTCTTAACTAATTAATTATTTTGACATGTCTACTTCAAGATAAATAGTCACAATCAAAAAATTTGCAGTTTGAATGATCAATAAACAGGTTTTGTTATTGTAGCATTCCATCTTATGTTGTAACATTGTTCTCTTAAGGAGTGATGATCAATCTTCTAGAAAGCAATATGTGACGGAGTAAATGAACAGATATATAGACTCAGTGGATTAAAGGTCTACTATGTGTTGTAGTTTCCATAACTTCAAATCAATCACATATAAAATTGAGCTTTGCACTTTGTGTTTTTGATGGCTTAATTGATACAACTTTGCTAATTTTTGCTCTTTAGGAATTTTTGTAATACATTCTTCATAAGTTTTGAAGGTTTGACATGGCTAATTTTGCCCTTAATATTACTGTAATGTAACATGGTGATTTTTTTTTCCTGAATCTGTTTGGGAAGCAGACTTCATCTTTTTGGAAAAAGAACCACATGGCTCCCTGTTGTTTTTGTGAGAATGTCAAAGGGAAGAAATTATTTGTCACTGATCAGGCAGATTTCGCAAATGAAGATGGTTACCAATTACAGTTATTTTGCTCATTAAATTGCATTAGCCTTGATGGAGACTTCTCAAATACCAAACAGAAAAATTGAAATTGTTATGTCCTGTAGTGCATAGAATGCAGAAATGAAGGCAATGATTTGGCTATATCTGAGCTTTGTGAAGACCAATGAAGGCAGTAAATCAATAGTAAATGTTACACAAGGAAGTTCTTCAAAGTGGTTCATTCCACCAGATAGAGGTAATGTGCCACAAGCCTCTTCTTCTAAGGTTAGATGAGCATATTTCAGCATTGCCATTGAAATGAAGTTGACAGTTAACTATAACAAATTCAAGGAAGAAGGAAACTACTTGTCAACAATTATAGAATAGTGACATTCTTTTGCTACTTCCTTCTGAAAAAGGTTATCCTTTACTAGTCCTTTTTTGTCCCAAATATCTTAAGTGTGTTAGGAGAAATCAGTCTGCTCAAAAGAAGGTACTTAGAGGCTAAATCTGTTGATTATTGGTTTTGAATGATAATACATGAATGCTCAACCATGACTTTTTGCTTGGGATTATTTTGCCAAACTAGCTAAGATTAGGACCTCAATTTTTAAGCGGAGGAAGGATTATAGTCTCACTCCTGCTGAGTTTTACATAGACATATAGCTTTCATTCATATGTTCTATTAACATTGACATTCATGCAAATTTTATTTCCTTTGCTAATTTTTGCGTTCCATTTTTGGTTCATCCACTAATTGGTTAGAATGATCATCTTTCCATTACTAGCTGCTTATAGAGTTCTTTGCTTATTGGGAACTGTTTATCGGATATCTATGTCAATATTTAAGACAATCAGTGTCTAACAAGCTATGTTGGAACACGTACAAAGCAGTAGTTTCCGAGCTGTAGTGTATGAATGCAGTTTCGATTGATTAAAAGTTTGCTTCTCTTGAAGTTGGCATGTCTTTCACATACACATGGAAAGTGCCTGAGAAGTTTTCATGAGAAGGTTTCTTCTAATTTGATTTGCTTCAGACAGAGGAAAGCATATCAAGGAACCAATTTGCTGCTGAGACTAGTAGCCAATTTGGTTGATCTTGGTTCCATTATAAGCTCTCTGGATTCCTCTACTTGTCAATCGCATGAACATAGATCTCATATCATTGGAAGCATTGAAAGTGAGAGGATGAGAAGGCAAGAGCATTGGAAGCTAGTTGTTGGATTGAAGGCGTGAAAAATTCCTTCAATTCACATTTCCATTATTTGTTACTATACTAAAGTTTTGCTCTATAGTACTGTATCCCAAAACTTCAATTTAACTATACTAAAAGTGTCGCACACATGGCTGGCTAGAGTGCATGTATTACTCTAGCTAGGCTTACAGAGAGAGAGCGCATTGCAACAGATACTTGAGAAAATGAAAAGAGCTTGTCCCTTTCTTTGTAAGGGGTAGGCAGGATGTGGCGAGGTGTTGGGAGGGTGAAAAATAATTTTAAAAAAAGGTGAAAAATAATAAGAAAATAAAAAGCTTTTGTGGGATAATAAGCTTTTCTTTGTAAAATCAGTTGGACATTTTAAAGTATCATTTTTTTAAGGAAAAGACATACATCTAACAATTCAAAATACATATCTTTGCCATGATTTTCAAGAAATAAGTTGCCAAAAGAAAAAATTTTGGTAACATTAAGCGAGAATTATTTAAATTGTATATGAAGAAAAGAAAATGATTTTTTTTATAGTACCAATTCATTCTGTATTGATAGTATCATAAACATAAAAATGAAATGATTATATTGCAATTGAATCAATCTCAGTCCAATAGTATGACTTGATTTAAAACTCAAGAACAAATGTAGAAAATTTGCTAGCAAGTTTTGCAATCCGTCCCTTTAAATTTAGTTGAGAAAATTTGTTATGGTAAAGTTGGAAGTCAAATTTTTAGTCCTAACCTTACCAATTTTGCAATTTTTGTATCCGAAGTTAAAAGAAAATGGAAAAATTTATAAATTATTCATCATAGAAGGATTTAATTTTTTTTTCATACATGATACTAAGGAAAGATAACTATTGAGACAATTTACTAGAGTTGTATCCTAGGGATTCATTATAATCAATGCATTTAAAAAATTTTGTAACTAAAAATTTGAGAAGGACAAAATAAAGAGAGTTTGTCCAAAATTGTGGGAGATATATATACAAATAATATAAATTAGTTATTGAAAAGATAAAGTTAAGAAGAAAAAATAAAAGTATTAAATGTTTGAGAACACATTGTGGAAAGGATTGATAGAATTGCATTCAAGTTAGCTTCTTTTTTTTTTTTTTAAGTGTAAGCGGAAGGATTCAAACTCGAAACCTTTTAGTTACACTTCCTGCCCCCATACCACCCAATCATTGCTCCTCCCTAGAGTTGCAAAGATATACACGTATTCATAAAATGCACATTATAATGCACATTATAATGTAAGGGGATGTTTGATAACCCCATTAAATACCTAAATTAATGCATTTTGTGCTTTTTCTATTAAATTTGTTTTATAGCACAATTTTCTTACATATGAATGCATTGAGACCCACTTAATTCGTATACAAAGTTTCAAGTGAAAGTTATATCACTTAATTTGTTGAATTGTTGAATTATAACATTCAACCAAAACATGCTCAGACTCCTAGACATTTTCATACAGATACACATTGATTATTAGATTTTTTCCCCCTTAAAGCATTGAACACTTTCACTAATGTTGTTTATAAATTAAAACTTTTTACCCTATGAAAATTTTTAGGAAATATCACGGCACACGCCTTAGTTTAAATGTTCTACATCTATCCCTACCCCAATTTCATAGTCTAAAACTACATACTTGTTTGATAACCCAATTTAGTACTTAAATTTAATGAATTCAGCTATTAACATGTTTAGATGCATTTGATAACAAAAAAATTAAACATCTGAATTAATTAAGTGGTACTGAATTTTTTAGGCAAAACTTGTTTCCAAAAATAAAGGATGAGCTGTTTATTTATCGTTTAATGTAATATATACTCAAATGTATCATATTTAGTACTTAACAATTCAATAATTTATTGGATTCAGACTTCAGATTTCATATATCAAATTTTAGATTTCAGACTTCAATTTTATCAACCGCACCCTTCTATACTATCTCTTTCCTACTCAATATACTATTTAACTTTACAATTAGCCAATGATTTCCCCATATTGCCTTGAAATGCGATATGAACACTATATATTTCTCATTCAATACATTTGGTCATGAATGAATTCTTTATGACTAATGAACTGAATGGATTCCCTTTGTTGTTTAGTAAGGTATCTTTGAAATATAAACATATTTTGCAATTCAAGGACAAAATATATATTTCTTTAGATGAAAGGTTTTCTTTTTTTTTTTTACCTCCTATCAATTTTTTAAAATCATTTTTAAATTTTCAAATACTATACAAATCACGTGTTATAAATAAATGTTTGCATAGACATTTTTTATGAATTAGTATTAAACGCTATTATGTTTAGTTTTCAACTATATGTAAAACTAAATATTTTTTGTAGAGTCTAAAATTGTGAAATATTTGATGAACCAAATTGTACATTTTAAAAATTTGTTTATCAATAGGGGTGACAATGTAATGTAAAATTATCTCCTTATAATCTACATAAGAATTAAGGTTTAATGTAAAATTATCTGCTTAGAATCTATAAATACTACAATTAGTGTTGACACATGCCAAATTATTGCCAGAATTAGGTTCCTTATTTTATTTTATTTTTTGGACCTATTAAGTCAGGTGCTATTTTTTATTATTTTTTTACTCCTATTAATTCATTTGCCATGTCAGTTACATTATCCACATGTGCAATGTTTCGTAGCAATCATATGCCAGGTTAGCTGTTTTGTAAATTTTTGTGTTAGCTTTTGTACCATAATTGCAGAATCTCGCACTTGTCAAACCCTTAAATTCTTTAAAAACATAAATAAATGAATTCAATGACCCAAAATGATCATTGTATTCCATTTTTACTTGGAAACACTTAGTAATTTGTATTAAGTTTAAACAAAAGAATAAAAATTATCATAAAATTGAGCCTTAGCAAATTCCTACATCATATATAAAAAAAAAAACAAACATAAGTTTCAATTATAAGAGATGAATCTAACATGAAATAGAAAAATTAGGTGACAATTTTTAACAAAATGGAAACAAGCCTATATATAAAAAAAATTAAAACATTATTTGTCTAACTGTCACTAATTGTAATGGAGATTGATATTATTATTTAAAAATCTTTTCATTGTATCTATAATCTAATTAATATTGAAATGAACAACAAAGCTAACTTTGTGGTAGTAAAAATTAATTACTCAATTTTGAATTGGGCTACAATTTTGGTAATGAACCTCAATCATTTAAAATTTGAGTGTGCATAGATGATCTGATGAATTCAATGTTTTTCTATTGCATATGATGATTAGATTTGTGGGCCTATTTTTACAATAATTGGTTCAAAAATAACTTACCTAATTAATAAATCTAATCCTTATATACCTGGCACATTGCTAGACCTATTTGATCTAAAATAATATAACTATTTAGTATCATATGATAATTTTTCAGTAAAAGCTAGTCCTTGTACAAACTAGATTATCTTATTAGAGATAAAATAAAGGATTGATTTTGACTAAAAATTACCTAAAAATAAAAATTCTTTGATGCAAACTTTTATAGCAAGTAGATCATTTAGAAGCTTTTTAACTTTCTATATAAACATGTATTATTCCTGCAAATTCTATATCTCGAACATTGTCGGAGGTTTACATTCTTGTTTCTTCTATATCTCTATTTTTATCTAACATGTATTGTATAGATTTAGATATAATTCTTTCCCTCCTCCTGATTACAGACTATATATTTCCTACTATAAACGATAGGTTTATCTTGATGCTATTCAAGGATGATCAATTTCATTTCTATTATGTCAAAATTTTTGAACTCTTTTTTCATGTGAAGTGTTCTTACTCTTTTTTTTTAAGGAAAATATAAATTTATGCAGGAAAAGAGAAATATAAGGGCTTGAGAGATAATTTTGCGTGGAACACTTGCCAGTTATTATTGACTAGGACTATTACTTAATATACCTCTCTAGTGAAATGTTTTGCTGTGTGTCTTGATCATTTCAAATGTCCTTGACTTGATTTATCCTTTTGTGTTTCATGTATAATTTTTTTATCCCTATGCTAATTGTTCCTCTTCTTGGTTTTCATGACAGGTATATCTTCTCTTGATCATCACAGGTATATCTTCTTGGTTGACATGATTTCCATTTTAAGCACTTTGAATTGCTTTACTTGTTGATCTAATGAATATGGATACGAAGATATCATATCAATGAAAGCATTCAAAGTGCGAGGATGAAAAGCCAGTAACATTAGTAGCTGTTGGATTGTACGAGTGAAAAAAGGCCTTGAATTCATGTTCCACCAATTGTTCTTATATATACTAAAGTTTTGCTCTAAACTATGGTACTCTATGCTAACATGAGTAAAAAACTAACAATTTTTTTAAACCCATATATATATATATATATATATATCTATTTAATTTCACCTAAACAATATGTTTAGACAAAATTAAATCGAGATATATTACGTGCTATTTGTACAGTTCAAATGAAATCAAATAGATATATAAATGAGTTTTAAAAAAAAATGTTATTTCGTATACATGATCAAAAAGGGATGAAAAAATTTATTTTGTAAAATGTGAGGGATGAAAAAAATTCATTTTGTGAAATGTGGGAGACGAAAAAATTTATTTTGTGAAATGTAACAGACTATGGATCGGATTATATAAAATTTAATTTGACAATTTTGTCCTTCAAAAATGATCACGTACAAAGCACGTGGTGGATTCCAGCAAAAAACTAATCGAAAATCTAGATAGGGACAAAATTTGACTACTATGAATTTGTAAGAGACGTAAAATTACACTTTTAAAAATGAGGGACTAAAAAGTCATTTTGCAAAGTGTGAGGGACGTTTTGAACGACTGTCACTATTATAATATTGTACTTATATTTTACTTATAGTTTCATTCTTATTTTATTTATTTTCCTTTTTAAAAAATTCAAGACAAACTGTATAGTGTAAAAAACTAATATATGCATGTCATAATCAAAAAGTGTATATTACTAACAATTTGACTATTTAAAAAGATATGCAAACTAGAACTTTAAATTACTTAATATTGAAAAGTATATCCCAAAAAAATAAAGTAACTAATATTTTTATTTACTTTTTCATGTATTGTTTATTAACCTCTATGTTATTTT